ATTTGTCACGGAGACACGGCTGCTGTAAAGCTACGAAAACGACGGGCCGTAATTTAAATCTTTATCAAATAAGTTTTACCGATACATTTCGCGTTGTAAACCGTTTAAGTATTTTATTTGAATGTGTACTACTCGCGCAAAGTACAGTACAGACAGTATATATTATGACATCGACATGTTATTTATATAATCAAATAGCTCAGTTTATTACTTTATTTCAGATCAAAGCTACTTAAATTTACGTAAGGAGTGTGTACGTTGAATGAATAACCAATCGATTCTGTAATTAACTAATCTAATTTATGTAAAATGTTCCTACGCGGCTATTATGTGCGCCCTTAACCGATAGACTATACGTAACGGATTAGCATATTAACACAAGATCACAGTATATTTACATTTTATATTGTGGCCATGAATTGGGCGATTACATCAAACATTTACTGTCACTAATAAATAAAAGTTATAAAACGTAATAATATTTCAATTAAATTTAATAATCGTTAGAAAAGATGTAGAAAAAATATTGTTTTCGTGTATGGCGCGAAGTTGACACATTTCTTGGAATGTTATAATTTGTTCCTTGCGACGGAAACTTTTATGGTGCCCGGGAATCGAAATCAGAACAACTCGCACTTAACGCAATGCGCTCGAACAAATATTTTTCTTTAGTAATATGGCTCGTACTTTACAGCTAACAGCTACATATTAATGTCTGTAAACTGTAAATAAAGTATCTTTAAAGTATAACATTTTTTCTCCTGCTGTTTGTAGTTGTAAACGAAATGCCATTTCCATATTTCTGAAAATAATGGACCAATCAAGTTCGCACTTTAAACTGTCAAAACTATTTTATCAATAAAATTCTCCGCTTACAAAATCGCACATTTCAAAGCCTAGCCAAAAAGCTCTGCTAACAAAAAGTTTCAATTACACGGTATTATTATTAATACCACATTAATAATGTGTTGGCGACGACCCTTACTCCAGCTCCAGACTCCAGTCAGCTCGGCTTAGCACGCGTGCATTCACCTTTCATTCAAAACAGATTGATATATAAATTGTCGACCTCCCGCAGCCTTCATTACAGACGTACGGACAAAAAATGTTATATATTATGACAAACAGGGCAGTGGAGCGCGATTGCTTTTTAAATTATTATCAAGTTATCTGCTTGAGATAAAAATAATACTTTTATTAAGGGTAAAAGAAAATCAATCAACTTAAGCGACGGCTATTCTCAACAGAATGCCGGCTTATAATAACCTAGCTATTCCAGCGACTTCGTGTAGAATAGTTATTCTGGGCACCAAAATTTGTTTTTGCAAACCTCCTCCTCACGACGTCATTCAATACTGTCTATAGTTTACGCGAGAAATACACATTTAAATAAAACACTTTAACGGTTTAAAACGCGATATATTAGTTAAACTAATTTGAATTTTTTTTTTAACTTCGGCCCGACGTTTCGGATGCTTTGCAGCACCGTGGTCAGAGACTCCCCATTTTCAAATAAGTCTAACTAATATATCGCGTTTTAAGCCGTTAAAGTGTTTTATTTAAAAGGAATCATTCATTCATACATATTTTTTGGGTATCTTAATCCGTTGTCGCAACGCCAACAAAAACCCTCAGAAATGGGTAATTTTCCACATTTATCACTGTTTCGTCGCGCCTATTGTCTTTAAAACATCACACTGCGATGATGTTTTAAAGCCTCCCAGCTCGAGCATGCAACATTTCTCCGTTCATCACATAGAAGGATTTTAAAGACAAACTTTGTACCCTGCCTGCCAGATAGTTTTAAAATTTTTTTGCACGTGATTCGAACCCTAAAACTGGGCCACATAGACGATCAACCATGTCTAGCGCATTCATCACTATTCTAAGTATGTTTAAGTTTTAACTTGAGTCATTCAAAGAACACCCAAGAACAAGTTAATTTGTATTTTTAATACGCAACCAACAAACTTTCTTTCAACATATATTTAGTCATCAACTTAAGTTATTAAGCTTTGAGATAACTCACACCCATTAAAACATATCTATATGCTTATTGTTCGAACATAAAAGTGAGATTGTTCCTTAATTAACATATACATAATTACACGATCTCGTAAATTGCTCCGAGACTCCGTGTACAAGACCACCTATGCTCTGGAAAGAGGAATTCCCTAAAATCCGTGCGATAAGGCTATGTTTACACTGCTACTGTTTTATGAGACGGCTGAGTTTGTTTAATTAAAGCTAAAAGGATTTATTAGATTGAAAGGAATGGGATTAGAGCTGACTAAAGTAGCATGAAAATCTTGAAAGGTTTCTTCTATATAAAGCCTTCTAAATAATTTGTATTTAAATTTTGTTTTTGTAATATATGAATAGGTACATTTTTGTTTATATATATAACTACTATACTAAGTGCATATAGGCCTCTACCACAATCTTGCAAAAAAATATAAGATGAGATCTTATCTTATCTTATCTTACAAATCTCTTGTCTTAAATATTCACGTGACTGGGGCAAAGAAGAAAATTGTAAACACTCTTGTCACAAGTCTGTCTAGTTAAACGCGAGTTGATCATATTCTAAAGAAACATAATAAATAGCTCATTACTGTAAGTTTACGCGAGCAGTTAACATTTAAATAAAGTTCTTTAAACAGTTTAAAACGCGAAATATATTATTAGTTAACTTACTTAACGTTTAACGACTTTCATATTGACCTGCCGACACTTTGCAAAAACAGTGGTCCCCTTGACTGATTTTTTATTTCAAGAATAGGTTTTGGCAAAACACAAACAAACTATTAGTGAAGTAAACACTGCGACGCGAGGCAGACACAAATATGTGTCTGCCTCGCGCCGCTTACACGGGAAATGGGATTTCACACATTAATGCGATTTCTCACATGACTAACACCTGGGTACCTAACACATGAGTCACGGCATGACAAACAGCTTAACGCTCCTCGAACCTAAATACGTCAATTACTAAACGGATCAAGTTCTATTTACATCGTTATACGTCCATACATATGTCTGTCTGTACGTCTGGCGAGAGGTCGGAGATGACGCGATAGCCGTGGTCCATATATTGGTCTCTGGTCTCCTATAAACGCGTGCGATCATGAAGATCCGAAGGTTATAAGAATATATTGCCCATGCGCATGCGTATGAGCAGTATCTCTAGTTATTCGCTAGCTCAAGTAAATAATAAGAGACGCAGAGCAGAACGTTGTTATTTTCAATGTATTTTAACTATGGCCCGAGGTCTTTTGCAGCACAGGTGATGGGCTGCTGCAAGGACATAATATATTTCGCGTGTAAAACCGTTAAACGTGATTTATTTAAATGTGTATTACTCGCGTAAACTACAGACCATACTTAAGAGTATAACTATAGATTCTTAAACTTATTTTATTTTATAATACCTGTCTAGTAGTTGCAATCGAATAAATAAATTCAAATGTAATAACAATCTGAAATCTATTTTGTAATTTAAGCAATTTTGTTATATCGACTCGTTTATTAAAGTTTGAACTCTTTATAACAATAAATTTATATCAATAAAGAACCCTCCATCCTTTGCATTCCATTTAAAATAAATTGTATTTAAATACTTTTTTATACTTTTAATTTACATACATATTCCCGTGCTCCATATCATTCATGCAGTATTCATGCGTTAAGCCTTTAAAAAGAAGCTATAATGTTTGAGCATTTGTTTGTAATAAAAATTACATATAAGTAATAGAAATAAGCGGCGTGATGCTGTATCCTAGCAACAGCGTTTATAGGACCACAGCCTAATGTCCCGTTGGCCGTTGCACACTAATTAGCACGCGGTACATACGGAAGTGACAGCGACACTCACGCGCATGCCCTGCACTCGACTTAAATCTACTTAATAAGCTATTTATATTATTTAGAAGGATTTATACAAGTCTCGGAGTGAGATGGTTATCTCTGGAATGAATATCGTTAGGAGAGTTTTAAAGTTTAAACGTGTAAAATATATGTTGCAGATACGAATCGAACAGAGTTGAAATGTCTGATATGGAGTGCACTAGCTTAGATTTGTGGACTTGCCTACAACTGATCTACATCGAATTGTATACTTGTAACAATAGGGATACTTTGAGTGTATTAAATGTATTGTATTAGTAACACTTTGTACTGCGGTCACGTTTTGATTAAAAAGGACTAAAATATTTTAATAGAACACTTTAACGGTTTAAAACGCGATATATGTTAGTTAAACTTGTTTGAAAATTATTTTTAACTACGGCTACGGTCACGGTGGTCACGGGGAGACTGTGGTCGCGTTTTAAACCATTAAAGTGTTTTATTGAAATGTGTACTACTCGCGTAAACTACAGAGAGGACTGAAATATTTTAATAAGACTAAATTTAAGTTTAAATAAAAAACACACCAAAATTAAATAATATTTTTCTTTATAAATAAAAAAAACATTTACTACTTAAGCGTAAGTCCCGTTATCTCTGCATGGAACCTATACTTATCTATGTTTAATGAATCATTTTTATTTCCCGACAGTTGCTGAGGTTCCCCGGGGCCCAGCAAGACCGTTGATTATAGGGGAAAGCCAGGACCTCTTTGTTGTATTGATATAAAAATCGACTAAACGCATTTAATAAAAATATATTTTAGATTTAAAAAAGTTACGACATGCGCTCCGTGCTATTGCTCTAACCAATTGAGCTACGGTATCGCTCGCTAAACGCTGGGTAACATGCTAGCTCAATTGTCAATCAATTTTGCCCATATCGTAATTTCTTTTCAATATAATTTTTAATTTCTATAATGCCATCATGTGCAATAACATGCGAATAATTATAAGTTTCCAAACGTATTTATATTTTTAACTCGCTATAGAACACTATAATATACCCACACTTCCGTACTCTCTTCAAACGATTCACGAACAATGAAGCGCATATCTAGCGCTATTAATTGTGTAAACAAGCAGGTGTAATGCTCACGACGCTGGCGAACGGCGAACGAGGGTTGATTGTGTGAAATAATGAGGCGTCCGTCGTCCAAGGTGATACAGCAACAGATACAGCTTCCATGTCGCACGCGAAACGACAAGACACGCCTGACCCCAGATAACGCGCAACTCTCCGGAGTGCCTCTTCGCGTGCCCACCTCCACTAACCGCTTCAGCAGCAACGAACAAAGACTCGGAACACATTTCAATTCGTGTTCGGATTGGATTTAATCGCGATTTTAAGGCTAATATTTAAACAGTTTCCTGTCTTTTGTTGGCTAATAAGATTAATCAAAGAATTATAATTATAAACCCACATTTTTGTCACTTCTTATGACAGGGTAAGTCGTTTGGTTGTGTAACGTGACGGCTGCAATCTTAGCTCTGCAAGTTAGCGCGCGTTTTGAGAGACACGCGTATTCTTTTGAATTTATTTTACTAAACAGCGAAACATCCTAACGATTATAATCATTAATTGATTGGAAGTTGATCCTCTGCAGTGCCGTTATAAAGTATTTAACTAAATATATAAATCTCCTTGTTATTTTCTAGACGAAACATTCAGTGCATTTAATAGAATTCGTAATATCAATAACAAACACTTGTTCGAACTTCGAGGAAGCGACTCAAATTAATTGTTTAACATACAATACTCGGCAATAGCATTATCGTCTGTCGATCTTCGAGCCGCAATGTAATAAATGCGAAATTAAATGGTAATTGATACGGCGTTTTAGCCCTTTCAAGAGATCGGGGGCTGCTTATTGTGGTCTGTTGTGAATGTGATCGTGCGGGACTTTTTTATCGTGTCAGCTGCGCAAGTGCAGCGTTATTGTGTCCGCATACTGCCGTCGGGATTAACTATTCTAATACAATTTTATTATCGTCCCACTTCGCCATACGGTGTTTTTTAGAATTGATATTTTGTGTAGGGTTGGCGATTTGTAAAATTACAAATACTTTCTATTTATATTTTTAGCATTGCAGATTCGCTTTACGCATTAATATAACCTATTTAAGGTTATCTGTATTGCTTTATAGTCAGTATTAGAGCATACAATTCAGTCTAGCCAAATAGGTGTATAATTATTATTTTTTTCTGGCTATTAGATACTTACACTAATATATAACATAGGTAACGACCCGAAACACTATCTATGACGTGAGTTGGAATTCTGGTCTTTTTGGTGTCATCAAATTTTGTCTTCCTAAAATAGCTGTCATGTGAAAAAACAGTTTTATGTAGTTGTAGGAATTTGACTATAAAATTTATTGAATATTTTCAAACTTACAGATAACATTTTGCAAGGAAATAAGCATTCTTAACATGATTTATGTTGAACAAACTTTTGTCAGATATGGTAGCCCTATTTGATTTGTAGCTGCTGCTGTGATCGTTGCCCCTCAGTTAATTTATCTCTTTTATTCATTAGATTATTATTGTTTGCGTCGTTCGAGTTGCCCGCGAGCCGTGAAATCGCATCAACTCGATAGCTTAGACATAGATTAGAGTGGAACACGATTTATCGCTGATGTGCTACCGTTACCTACTCGATCGTGACTAATCGGATTTAATTTTCCATTAATTATCGTAAAGTGCATAACATTTCGACGCCCAGTTTCCATGTTTTTATTAAGTCCGTATAACTAGTCTTCGATCTTTGTGTATCTGTCACAAGACAATCTCAAGGACCACGATAGCAAGAGATTGAATGCTAATAAATAAACAAAAACTCTGTTCTTACTTAAATGATTGAATGTTATTTAATTTTAATGCAATATGGGAAATTGGGCAGTTTCTGTGTTAGTTGCGTGTACAGATTATGTCACATGTAAACAGATGATCAATCAGTCTATTGTCCTTTTAAAAAGTATTGATTTTTTCGAACCCAAGACCTACCAAATTTAACTAAGCCATAGTTCTTAGGATTCTCTGTGTAAATAATACAGTGTAGTGGTTATCTATTTTCATTGATTTAATAGACATGTAGGATTACATATACATATTTATTTCATAAAACTATATTATATGCATTAATTTATCCGCTAAATGTGTTCTAATAGTGATCCGTGAACAAACAACAATTATTATAATTTATGTACCTCCGTACCGGGTCGCCCGGCACTGTAAGCTATCACTAAATTTAGGTCGACTTTTCAACGCTGTGAGACTTGCTCTTCGATAACTTGCGAGAGCTTTGAAAAACCGACCTGAACACAAACAGTTATTGGGGGACACACTTCGATTTGATGGCACTTAGGTCGTATCAGTTTACCTCGAAGCGACAGACATACGGACAACTAAGCTACGCGATGGCAAGACTAAGGGCTGTTCGCCTCGTCTCAATTGTACGGTAATCTTTGGCTGTAAAACCTGTGGGAAGCGTATATCAACAAACACTATGACAACCGGTAACTCTAGCCAAGTATGAAAAACTGATATAAGGACAGGATATAAAATGGAAGTTTATGCGGTATTAACTTTCTTCTTTGCTTATTTGGGTTTTTACATATGTACCAGAACTCATATCAGTTACAAATTTATAGTACCTGAGCCGCGTACTACATTTTGCCCTTGGCTAGAATAACAAAATACTATATTACAATCTTCATAATCATGCTCTAACTTCGAAAAAGTGTCTTGCAAACACACAACAGGATGTTTGTAGGACTTAACTATGATTCCCATAGTCCAATTTAAAACACGATTATGAATGTTGTAAAACCGATTAGTCATAGTAATTTGAACAAACCTTAATTTAATTGTGCTGTCGTACATTAACAAAAGTGACTTAAAAATATATAAAACATTATAGAGTAATTAATATTATGCATTTCCCTGAGTTTGTTTTGGCATTAAATAGAGAGAAGAGAAACATTTTAACGTATATTAATAAAGTTTAGTCGAAACAAAACGCAAAGAAAAATTATATTTTTCTTAATATAAAAAGTGTAATTATTAAAACTTTGTAACAAATGTAATGTGCGCAGGTTTATTATAAATTCAATAATATAAAATATAACAATGTAAAACGGAAGAACGATAAGGGTTAATAAACATGGGCGACTTGTTCGTTATTCTGCGCCAAGTCGCCCATACGAAATCCCCCTTTACAATAAAATTATGGAAACAAGTCAACGTTTCAAAAATTACAAAATTGTAATAAAATGATTCAAGCACCAGCATCTACTAAATATAATAGTGAAACCTTGAAGAAAATTTTCTAAGGCAATCCACATAAGAGCGGTTAGATATATATTTCAGTTTTGATTCTCAAACGAATCTCATCGCTCTTGTATAGGACGCCTTAAAATAGCGATAAAACATCGCGAATAAAATTGATCTACTTACTGATCTATAATAATAATCAATAAAAATTAAAAAATCGATTAATAAATAAATTATTATGTAAAGATTCCCAAAAATGTAATCAAAAACGATGCTTTACGGTCGGAACGTGAAACGCACGTAATACGTGCGCGGACGCACTACAAAATTGTTAATCCATAATTATGTTTTGAGATTTGACTGGTAGATCTGTATTTATAGAATTTTCGTTTAAAAGTTTTAGATTCAGACAAGCTTTGTCTTCAAGCCGAGAAGCAAATAACGATAAAAAAAGGACCGTGATAGCCTGTTAACATGTTTTATGTAAATTCTATTTACACAGATAAAATAACAGAAAAGTATAAAAATCATGTTCCCTTCAAAATTTTCAATCGACATTGATTCTTTCAGTATACTCTATTGTGGCAACACCGTTTAATGTCAAATTAGTGAGAAAAATAACAAGCTACACGTACGCAAGCGCGCACGACGCACACAACTACAGAGTACGCGGAACAACCGCACCCAACGACGCCTACGATTTACGACTACCTTCACAACTTTTTAAAATGTATATCTTTCGTCTTTACATAACGACATTAGCATTTTGGCGATACGGAAAATCGCCAAAACACTTGTTTACTTTCTGAATAATTCATTTGAATAAAGCAGCAACCAAGTTCAAAGGACGGGGTGGTCCTTCGAGCCGGCTATGAGCAAGCGATAAGGGATTATAGGATAAACCTTTATTCGAATCGACAGCTCTTAATTGAAAACAATTTTTGAGATTTCTATTGCACTTTACATCGTAGCTTACCCTATGTTACTCGTAAACCTAACACAAGACACACAGCGAACCAATAGGCCATATCTTAAACATTAAGAAGACTAGCGGGCGGGTGCGGTCTCTCGCAGCTCGTGACTACGGCTATTACAATAGAAACTACGCTCTAAATTAGTACGACCTACATAAAATTAAGACGAACACTAATAAGGGTAAGATTCGAATTACATACAATGAGGAAAGTGCTGGCTCGGCGCGACCAAGACTCTAGAAACAAGGAAGAATCTTATTGCGATTAATAAATATCGTTCGCTATCACAATAATGTTTGAATTTATAATGCATTTCGTCACGTAGGCCACTTTGGAAGCGTCAAAATATTTTTCTGTCCACGCATGTATAGACTAACTTTGTTTCCAACAAAGTCACGCCGAGCCTGAAAGTTTAAACTAATCAAATGAGTAAGTAGGAAAGCATTACCTATACAAAGAGGAGTCGGTCTGAAACTGCCGTGGCTGTTTGAGAACGACTCGATATCTGTGCTCCCAAAAAGGGCGTCTTAATACGGCGACTGGACTGGACGTACTTTCGAAGTTCATGAAGTCATCTTTCGAACGGTAAATAATCGGAGAGTCATGGTGGAGATGTAAGATAATACAACCAATGAGAATATACCTCGTAAAGTAAAAACTCATGAGGCCGTTTGCAGCGTCCGTGAATATTCTTGTTCCTGATAAAATTCAAAATTGAACTGCCCACTGCTCATGGCTGAATTTATCTCTATGACCAACAGATTTCAATGTAAATTAAAAACTCCAACTAATTGCAATCCCCAATACTTTCGAAACACGTCCAAGCCGTCCGGCGCCAAGACCCTTAACCTATACATTAGTATCAACACCGAATAAAATAAAAATGTACAAAACAATTAGCACACAACAACCAACGTATTATACGGCGACAACAACGCTTGGAACAATTATATCTCACTTAGCACTATTTAACTGGCAACACCTAGATACATTTCTCATAACAAATAGCATTATAAACTTTTTTAGTTTAATAAGTAATAAGAATGTTCCGTTTTCCCAAAATAGATTTCAATAGTTATACTAAGCCTTTGTGTTGCCATTTAAATTGCTAGTGTTCTATGATAATATAATTTACACTAATCACTACATAAAGCCATACATTGTGCTAGATCCGCGCTCACACCTTAGAACTAAACCTTTGGTACCGACACTAAAAAACTATAATAAATAATACTTTTGTGATGTCACCGCGAACGGCCAAGAGTGTGATAAAACATAACCTCCAAAAAAATAACACATCTGTGTTTCAAACACATTAATTCGTAAATACCTGTATTTAGAATACGAAAAAAATATTATTGTACTTAGAGTACTCGGTTTGATAAAATAAACCAGATTACACATGAGTTACATCACATCAAACGATTGACATTTCATATTCCCGGCTTTTTGATGTGAATTTAAACAATGTACGTTTTACATTGCAGCACTTGTACGTGAAATAACTCTGAGAATACTGAATAAGGCGGATAGGACGCTGAGTATTGAGAGAAATGCACCTCCAGTAATGTATAAAACACAACGAATTCACACTAGAAATTGATTTTGAAGACAAGTAAACAACCTCTTCATATGATTTAGATACTTGTACTTTTGGTGAATGTAAGAATTTTAAAACAATATGACGAACTAACTAACAGATCTCTTCACGAAATTCTTCGGGAATTAAAACTTATTGTGTTAACAAACTTAACATTTAGCCGCGCCCTACGCGTAGTCTAAGAAACGGCTATAGTTTCTATCAAAACCGTCTCTTGGCATTACACAGGGCTTTTGGTTAGCGCAGCACGTGCACACAAACACACACGCACACATACAAATACTTTAACGCGATTGGGGTTTTCTGATTGCATCTCGCCCCGACTAGCCGCCGACACAACGGTCCAATGAGGCCTTTCTCTTACTAGTAATACTAAGTTTATACCACAAAACAATATGATAGTGATTAGTTCTTAGGTCGAACGCAATTAGTACAACTCTTAGACTATAAATTAAAAGAAAGACCCCATTCATTAAGTACAAGAATACGTGCTTCCCTAGCGGTTAGATGAGGTCTAGGTCACGTTCACACTATGCGGTTAAATTTTATTCAATATTTACAACAATCAATAATTGCTCTAACTTCTTTATATTTTATGTTAACCTCCAGGGAAAATATATTTCTCAACAAACTAGGAGCTTAAGTTGTTTTTTTTTTATATTTTTTATTTTATCGCGATTATAAAGATCTCTCGCTCGAAGCGGTGGACATCGTAAAATAACTATTTTCATTTATAACTTTTGATAACTTCCTGATAATTTAATAATGTCATAATAGTATGAGTCAAAAGATAAAAAAATTGGGTCTAATGACTCACCACCTAACGATCAAACTTTATCCTTTTAAATGAATGAATACTCTGTACAGAGTCCAATATTAAATTGGTCAGGAAGATAAACCTAAGAATAAAATTACACTTTGACATAGTTAACACTTATAAATATACTTCACAACATAAATTATATGTAAACATATCAACGAGCAAAATATAATATTGGCTGGTATCCTCTGCGGACAGAAACGTCATAAGATATAAGAAAGAAAGAGCAAATACTTTTTCTTTCTTCTCTCCATAAGATAACGAGCAACTTATTTTGGCAACTCCACCTGAGGTATAGCGGCGAGAGGACCGCTCTTCTAGGGGCGCTATTCTCAGAACACGTTGTCGAATGACTTTTTGTAATAAACCAAAAAGATGATTTGGATTTTAGACCACATATACTACAAAACAACGCCACCTAGTTAGTCCTTATTGAAAATGTATAACAAATCCTAACAAAAAAGGAAGCAGCGATCGTACCGACCGCTCGAGCGCTACGCTAGGCTAACCTATGCTACGACAGAGAGACGTAAACAAAATCGGTAATACTGCGCGTGCGCAATACTGAATAAACAAAATCGTGACTAGAACCAGAAGGGACATTGCGTTTTTCGAAGACACGTAAAGAACTATCGACATCGTTACCGACCACACAATATCCCCGCAATTAGAATCGCCCTACGGTCACGGTAAATTATAGGGAAAACTCTGCTACGAGCGACATTATGGCCATCTACTGTCCAGTGTCGAAGAGGGGCAATTCACAACTAACTAACATAAGATTTACGCTGACATATCTTGAAACTAGTGACTGTCGACATGAATTTTATATTACTAGCGAATTGCCCTCCGGTAATCTTAGATCAAATGTAGTTTAAGCTAAGATCACATATGCACCTAACTTGAGTAACGCATAAACATCGCAAACAATGCAAAGTACTTACACAAGTGTAAACAATACTAAGTCGTGTACAAACATAAGATGTAGAAACAACGCTCCCGTTGAAAGACGTTTATAGTATCTTGTACAATGTTTTATGTACAAATCAATGTACCGCCGACACCACGCTATTTACACTGAAGTTAGCCCTTGTATTAGATTGGTCGTTAAAGATATAGTATTCTACTTCAGACCAACCATGTGGACACCGAAGCTTAACTATGGCATTATCCCCCTCACATCTTTTTCCAAAATAAAATTTAAAGAAAAAGCTTGTGCAGTGTCCGCAAGGTGAGGCCGCGCATTCAACTAAATCGCTATGATTCGGATATAAAAGCACATCGGTCGCTCAATCGATATAGTGTAGATATCGCAGTGTCGACGCCTGCCCAAGGCCCGCCCGTGGGCCGAGAGCAGAGAGGAGTGAATCAGGCTCACTGAGCCGGTCGTTCATCGCGTAGCGGGTTGAAATCTGCGTTCACGAAGGAGAAACCGTGGAACTCCTCCTGTGAACAAAAAGATAGCATTTAGTTCTACGCAACGTGGATTTTTAAATAAAATTCGTTATTGAAAAAAGAAACAGCAGGTCGTAGCGTAACCATCCCTCCCTAAATATTACTTGGCGCTATTTCTCTAAAGGTAGCGTCCACTGTCTAAAAATAATTTTTAAACATACCGCTACAACTTGTTAAAACATTACGACAAATAGTATATTTAAGTACTGTATGTATTTTACTACTATACATTACATATTTTGATAAAACACTATTAAACAGTTTAAAACGCGAAATGTCCACTGCCGCAAAGCATCCCAAAACATCGGGGTATATATATATACAACTTTCGCTTTATGTATAAACCGTTAAAGTATTTTATTTAAAAAATAACATATTTTCTTCTCTTTCTAGTTTATTACCAAACTGACCTGGTTAATGGCTCGCAGCACGTCTGCGGGGACAGGCGTAAGACAAGGGTCCTCTTTGGTAAATTCCGCATCAAAGTTTGCCGCTTCACGCTTGCTCTTCTGAAATATTTATTCGTACCGTGACTTTATCAATAATAATAAAACAATATAACGAAAATTTAACATCTTATATTATAAAAAGCTCGAAAAAAAGCTCGTTGGTTATTTATATACTTACCACCTTGGGTCGGAAAGGCGGGCGAAGGCGTCTAGCGGCGAGTGCTTCCCAGTCCATGTCCCGGAAGAACGAGTGAGCTCTGATGCCAGCCTCACCGCCGACCACGCCCAGTCTACGCGACGGGTTCTTCGTCATAAAACCTATGAAATTATAATAAAGGGTATTTTTGCTCAAAAAATAGTATACAACAGAGTTAAGCCATATTTTTTTTAAGAAAAGTAATAAGTGAGTAACGTATAACTTCTAATGTTGTACATATAACAACACTCCTTCGGATGTAGTATATTTTTTCTAACTTGAGAAAAGTTAACAAGAAAACGTTGTTTTTACTACGTGAATTTGAGGTAATTTCACTTGTTTAATGTATAATCTAGTGTCTCAAAATGATTTTAGTGTAAATCAAGGTAAACATTGAGAGAAAATGATGACTTTAGTAAGTTGTGTTTGTTTACAAAAAATTACAAAATTGACAAGTTAAAAAAAATACACTATATGCTTATTATTTTCTAGATATTCATATAGAAATAACAGTCCCAAATATTACTTAACATTATTATACATTACCTTTTAGTATGGAAACAGCGTCCTTTGACAGCCAGACGGGATAAAGAACATCATCATGCAAGATGCTCTCGAAAAGATCATCTTCATTGTCCGCTTCGAAAGGCGGTTGTCCGGCCAACATCTCGTATAGCAGCACTCCCAGCGCCCACCAATCCACTGATGGACCATATTCCAGCTCTTGCAGAATCTACATATTTTTTAAATAATTATCATATAACTAAATTATGGATTATTATTACCTTAGAAAAACAGACTTAACATATTTTCACTTTCAGAATTTCTTTCTTTCTCAAGAACAACTAATATATCGCGTTTTAAACCGTTAAAGTGTTTTATTTAAATGTGTACTACTCGCGTAAACTATAGACATACTGTCTTAACAAGTAAATATATTAATATTTCAACTTAAAGATTTGAGATTAGTTTAAATATTATGTATCTGCCTCACCTCTGGTGCAATATAATCAGGCGTTCCACAAAACGTCGTTGTTGTAACACCATCTGGAAAAGCGAAGTATTTTTTATTAATAACGTGTGAGTCCTATTTTAACCGATACGAGGTAAACATATTTCTATGCCTATTTCACTGATTGACTTTATTTACGGCCCCGTAATTGTGTCAAATTTTGTTTCTTGACTGATCGAAACTAAATATTTCCCAGTACTCGAATCCTCCCGCTAAGTGCAATAAGTTTAACTTTTATGCTACAGATGCATGTAAATGATTGATCCTGTCACATCTCAAACGAAATGTTAAATTTAGACACCTATACATAAAAAAATAATAATGAGCACATTTAACTGTTAACAGTTTTAGGTCAACAAAATGGTAGCCCCCTGCAAACCACTTATCATACGCATTCTATATATGTAAAACAATAGTGAAAATCTTAAAAATTAAATCCCATATCCCTTGAGTGACATGGGGCGAACACGTTTCTATGTCAGTATCACTTGTCAGTTTTATTTAAAGGCAAGTAGGTGTTCACACTTCCATGCCCCACCCGACTGAAAATTTTTATTGTTTTCCCGGGATTCGAACCCAGGACTTCTCGCGGTTAACGCGTTAAGAACCATACTGTTCAATAAATGTTAAGATCAATAAGTTTATGACTGAAATATACAAACCGATGATCCCTTCCTTGCACATGCCAAAGTCAGCCAGCTTACAGTGGCCTTCGCTATCGAGCAGGATGTTGTCTAACTTCAGGTCACGATAGATGACGCCGTGTGAATGCAGAAACTGCAGAGCCAGCGTAACTTCCGCCGCGTAAAATCTGCAGATTTTTTTTTCTAGACGTTAGGTGTTAAAACAATGGAGACTTTAAATAACTGTCTTAAACGCGAAAGTATAACTTAGTGAATAGAAGTTTATTACACCTAAATATTTTGTCATCGCGACTGCTGTAAAGCTTTCTACATATTTAATTATATAGTTATTAGGCAAGGCGTTATTTAACTAGGTTATGTATATTTAAATAAAATACTTTTAACTGTTTAAAACGCGAATTCAGCCCTGGCCACGGCTGCAGCAAAACAGCCAAAACGTCAGTCCGTAATTAAAATAGGTTGGTAAATCGGTGAATATAAACTAATATTTTATTAAATATTTCTGAACCATGTTGGACTTCATCTGGAAATCTGGACATTTAATGAGTAGTAAGAATATCGTATTTCAATCAAAATGAAACAGTCTTCAAGCTTAACCGCGTTTCAGTCTGTGGATTTCCGAATATCCAAAGCCTAAATAAGTCGACAGCGGTTGTGTAGATGTTACAATGCTGGGATATTTCACCCACCATCTACGACTTCGCTATCATAGAAGAATGTATATTCCGCGTTAAAAACCGTTAGTATTTTATTTTGTAAGTCAGCACGTACCTGGCCCGAGGCTCGTCAAACTTCCGAGCGCGCTGTATCTGGAACATAAGATCACCACCATCCACGTACTCCATGACGAAGAAGAGGCGTTCGGGCGTCTGGAAAGCGCAGTACAGCGCCGTGAGGAAGGGGTGGCGCGCAGCCAGCGCCAGCACCCGCCGCTCAGTCAGCGTGCACTCTACGTCGTCGTCTTGGATTATCACGTCTTTCTTCAGCACTTTTACGGCATACACCTGCAAAGACCGGGCGAGTGAGAGCGAAAGATCGATGAGAAGAATTCATCGTAACTCCTTTTTAAAATTATATAGTTCATCTACTAAAGGGCACAAAATACAGATTATTTTCAGTGACCATCACTGATTATATCACTCCACATCCATTTATGTTTAAAATCATTCTTCTAAGATTAGTTTCACTTAAAATAAGATTAACAAAAAGACTTAAGATGTGCATAAGCTTAAATAATTATTATCTATATTTATTTCTATATTGCCAAATTAAATGACATATTTAAAAATGTACATATACAAACAAATTAATTTACATAAAAACAAATAAATAATATCATTTAATATCACCTTTATCTTAGTGAGAATATTATAAGGTATAATTTTTAATATAATATTACGAACAACTTATTAAACTTCTGTCCTGCTTTGATCAGCTTTTACTGAAAACTTCTAGTGTAATTAAAATAACCATGCCTTATACTCCTATCTGCACATTAGTGTATTAACTTAAATTATTCGTATTAACAGCCTAAAATACTCTCCAAGAACCCACGAAATCTTACCTCATCAGTTCCCTTCTTCTCAGCGAGCATAACCTTTCCGAAAGAGCCCTTCCCAAGCACTTTGATGAAGTGAAAATCATCTAATGAAACCTTTGCCCCACCATCTCCGCCAGAACCATCACCTCCCAGGCCTATAACATGTTCCCAAAGTTAGACTATTGCCTATATTACGTAAAGATCAGAAAAAGTCGATCACACTTACGGGACTTGAACCCACGATAGACCTCGCACGGTCTCATTACTCTACATACGATACTATTGTGGTGATTTGACGTTATCTTCCTTAAGTATTTTTCTAGTTTATACAAAAGTTTCAGGGGAATTTGACACTAATAAATGTTAAAACGAATACTTCGTACAAAAATCAGACAATTTAACGAAAACACAAAGAAAAATTATATGTTTATATAGTCATTTATCATATCTATAACTTCTTAGGTCCTTAAATAATTCCTTTGAAACTTCAAAGACATAGCAAAGTAAAACAACATGCACCTTGTTTACAACCAAAAATATCTTCTAGTTCGTCCCATGCTGACCGCTGCACTACTATCTCTTGTTGCACACCTACACAAGATTAAACGTTCACACACACACAAACAAAACAAACAATTGACAGCAATATCTTTTTCAAAATACAGTTAAAACGACAACATGAAAAAGACATTCCTAATTAAAAAAACAAAGAGCAACACCCCATCACCGAAAAAGCGCCCATAACCAAAATCTGTGTGTATGTTCACATAAACCTTGGTAACTGGCGAATATATCTCGCAGCTCGTCCCACTGCGCGCCCCACAGCTTGTGTCCCTCGTCCAACTCTAAATTACATATAAAACAAACATGCAGACAAACAAACAAAATATTGACTCAAAACATATTTGGTTACAATCTAAATGCCACGTAAATAAACTAGATACTTTTTTTATTTAATTTACTGTACTTAACAGTGGCAACTAGATTGGCATGAAAATTGGAGTATAAAATACCATACAATACATGCTTGGTTGCTACTATAAACAAAAAATCAACTGGCTAATAACTATGAAAGAATTTCAATCTATGATTTTTTTTAAAAACAAGTGCAGAACGGACTTGGCACAAACAACGCTATTATATACCAAACGTCAAATATACCTTTGTCATCCTGCCTGTCATCTTTACCGTCTTCTGGAATAAAATCTGGCGCCCCCTCTAGCATCGGTGTGTTCAAGTACTAAAAAGAGAAATATTAAAATTATTTATTTGCTACTGAACATCAAACTCTCTTGGGTGTGACATAAGATGAACGTCAATAATAAAAAATAGTATCATCTGCTAGTACTCAGAAAGACGAAAATTATGTCTAGCTTCTTAAATACTGTAATAATACTGAGAGACCCCCCATGACCATGGATACTGCAAAGCATCCGAAACGTCAGGCCATAGTTAAAATAGTTTCCAAATAATTAATATATATCGCATTTTAAACGGTTAAAGTGTTTTATATAAACGACTAGCTCTGTCCGAATGCTGGCATATCGAAATATTCCGAGGTTTCCCTACGAATTTTTCCATGAAGATAAAAACTATATATATACTATATTGGACTAAGTAAATATAATTACCTTGGAAGCTCTAGGCCGCGGGTTCTTATCCGGGCTGATACCAATCTCGCTGAGTATGGCTGCCATCGCCTTCGTGTTGATGCCGCAGTTGTTCGCGACATTCTTCTGACATCGCTTGTGGACGTTGATGGAGCATACTGTAACATCGATTTTGAATTATATAACTAACGAATTATATACAATAAAAACATTTTTCTTACATTATCATTTAAAGTTCGATTTTTGAACTAAAAACATGACGCAGTCAACATGTCTGGACACCGATTTACTAGATAGTAGGAAAACAATAATATTTTTCATATGCTGTTACACATGATGGCATAAGTATATATTTTTTTATTTACTAGATATTCAATTTAATGATTTAAGTAACTTCAGTAGGACAATCTATAAATAAAAAATCTTGAAGTTTAAAAAAAACACTCTACGGTTTAAAACGCGATATACTTATGCGATGGTTAAACTTACTTCAAAAATATTTTAACTACGGCCCGAGATGAATTAAGCGTAATTAATATATTTCGCGTTTTAAACCGTAAAGTGTTTTATTGAAATGTGTACTACCCGCGTAAATTACAGACAGAATTTTGTAGGTAACGAAATAATCTAGCAAGTAAAGAAATAATACCGACATTAAATAAATATGTAAGGAAAAATCTAATTGTTAACTTACCCTCGCATTGCAGCCCCTGCTTTATAAGCCCGTACAGCAGTGAACCGCAGTGGTCGCAAAACGTGAACCGTTTGTATGAGTGTACCACGAACCGATGTGGTACGTTCACGCTGAAACGCTGCCCGCCGGAAACGCTCTGCTGCTCAGCAAAACAAGTCTTAATTAAATAGAAAAGTGTCTTTAAATATTAGCATACTCTATTTAATTAGCAGGGCTCGAACCCACAACCGACAGCCTCCAAGGTCAATTAGTCTGCTCTTACGTTCCTATTTATATATTGATTACAAACATAACATTATCAATTCTTAAATGGACACGAACATGAAAATTTTAATTCTAAAATAAAGTAATAATTATTTTAAACACCTACTAATATTTTGAAGTTTGTAGTTTTTATAAAATTGATGTCAATGTTGCTGACACCCAATAATTTTATTTTTACAGCCTTCGTGACGCAAGGGCTCGGTTCGAATCTCGGAAACAAAGGTTTTTGGGAGTAACACAATACATCAAAAAAAAAAAAAAATCGAAACAGACAGAAATGTACAAATATACGTGAAACAATATTTCATAACAGCAAAAAAAATCATTCGTACCTCCTCTCGCATTCCAGGGCACTTGGTGACTATAGAAGAGTGACACCTTTTGTGGACCACACAAGTGCATACTGCAATTATTAAACAAATATTAATATTTGAATCTTCGTTAGACAGGTACCACTGCCCTCATTAGATGTATTAACTCACCTTGACACTGGTATCCTTGCTTTCCGAGACCCCTGCAGAAATAAAAGTTGGTATAAGGAAATTTTACAACAAATAAAAACAAAAAATTGTAACAACTACTTTTCACCATCTCCTAACTTTTTGAATTAGTGTATAGTATAGTTGTAGCAAGTTTGACGATTTACATTTACATTAAAAATTTTACAATAATAGTTATTGGATGTACTTAGCCATATTGGACTCGACCCTTTGTGCAAAGTTTATAATCAACTAGCTGTGCCCGCGACTTTGTCCGCGTGGAATAGTGATTTGTTTGTTTATTAATTTATGTAAGGGCGCATTTAAGGCAGCCAATCTATGTTGTAAGTGCTTTTGCCGCAACACTCTCACCTCACATCACTCCTGCTCTAACTCCCACACTCATTCCTATACTCACTCCCACTCCCACTCCTATTCCCAAAAAGCCAAAGAAGAAAGTTTTATTGTTTTAGCTTAAAAAAAACTACGAATTTCCATACAACTTTTCACCCCCCCCTTTTAACCCTTACAACCCCCATTTTGCAATAAAGTAGCGGACAGACAGACACAGATAGTTACTTTCGCATTTATAATATTAGTAAGGATTTATAACATCACTATGGCATGTGAGCATACCAGATAAACTCTCGACAATGAGAGCAGAAAGTCGGCTGCCGCAGAAAGGTCGCCATAAACTTGTGTCCATTGACTTGGTGCACCCGCCGCCTTAACGCACCCCGTCGTCGGGCGAAACCTGCGCCCTCTTTGAATTCGCGACGTGGACCGCTTGAGGCAGCCGCACCCACTAACATACACAAAAAAAATCATTTAATGATGCTACTAAATCCTTGCTCACGGAGTGAAAATTTTCAGCACAATACAATGCTGACATATTTTTGTTGTCATTTTACTTGTAGTGTCCCGCGAAACACTATCATGTTTCCGATCGAATCCGGGATCACTGGTACTAAACGTAACATTTGAGCCACGGGCCAATCAGAATATTTACAAAGACATACTATTGTTAATACTTTAGTATTCCACTCTTGATAAAACCAAGTACCAAGTAGTAGACCATTACTGATGGAATAATGTCTCGAGAAAATATAAAAAGTTTTCTTATCGTTGTTAACATTGTCTTTATTATTATTATTATTTTCTATCGGGGACACCCTTGGCAGGACGGGTGATCAGTCCACGTTGTCCGCTGACCATTTCACCCATTTCCCCATTTCCTCCTTGCAGAGATTTGGGTCATAACATTGTCTTTAAAACACTATTATCTACTCAAAATATTTTCAATCCCTTCTAGCAACAAGTACTAAAATGCCAAATTAGAATAGCAAATGTAAAAACATTTATAAAAAGTACTCAATTGTACCAGCAAACCAATATTTTTTAAATACTTGTTCCCCAACAAACAACAAATTCACACCTTGTTTAATAATGCTATAAATGTCTAAAGTATACAAATTAGTAAAGCAGGAAATGCTAGTCTATGTATGAAAATTACAGTAAAATGAAAAAAAAACACTAACCTTGTGAATTCCATTTCAGATCAATTTTGAGATGTATTTTTCCTTGTGGCTCAAGATCCACCTAGACAAGTATATTTTTATTAAAATTAATGAACATCACTAAAACATAATATATAAAAAATGCTATTCTTTATCACACAATTATAATTGATGTCATACATCTTTGTTGTATTCATCATTGAATATGTGTAATAAGAAGTATATATTACTAAATGACCATAAAAAAAACTGCATGTAGTTTCACTGGACCTCATATTTTTTTTCCTGAATTCCTTTTTTTCCTGGTTAATAGATTTTTCTCATTGTTTTTCAGTAAAACAGCAAAACATATCAATACGAATCCTATAATTATAATTAGACCATTATGTCCTTGATCTGAACTGATAATTCTGGCTAAAATTATGAATGGAAAATTATTTTTAGCGTTAAGGAAAGACAATGTTTATTCAGGGCTGAGTCACTTGATGAAAACAGGATGCAGCCGTGATCTGTGTCACATAACTACCTCTCTTGGAATGCCATATTTTCCTTTTGAACTGAGCCATAAACATTTCTTCCAGTCACACATTTTCACAATCAATACTCAACATAAATACAGATATTTCACAAAAATTACGAATAAATTTTAGGGCACCGTAATTTTTAGATAATTTTAAAGAAATCACATCACCAAATGATAAATCCAAGAAAATGATTCACAATGACCCCCATACATGTTAATCTGAGTAACACTATCTATCAAAACAAACAAGATATGGGAGTCTTGAATGTCTTATCTCAAGTTGTATTAATTATGCAATGTATAGTAACACTCTAAAAAGTTTATAAGCTGTTGTAGATAGAATTTTTATTCTAATTTTATAACCAGAATAAGGGAAGCATTCTGTCAATTTCTTTATGCAATTTTTAAATTTGTACATTAATATTTTGTAATAATATCATAACTCATTAAAGTGATGTATTAAAAATTAATAAGTCATTTACCCAAAAGTCTGTGGCATCCTTTTCTCTGTGCATAAGATCTTCAAAAGGGATGGTACAGTTTGCAACAAAATCATCTGGAGGTATCGCAGCATCATGGAACACTGTGATACCCAAACTAAAAAGAGATGTAAGGCATAAAAAAATTGCTTATGATATAAATTGTTAGTGTTAACCACCTCGTTAAATTAGTGATAATAGCAAGTTGTATTTATTATAAGAAATGCTTAAAACAGAAACTTAAAAAATATTACATTTTGTTTACAGTAACTATCTTCCATTCCTATAATCAATTCCTGAGTATTCCTTCTCTATAGATATCAGGCGAGAGCATGTAAAACTTGGTAAACACACTTTTTTAGAAGGTTTATTAGTATTAAGCTAAGTATGAAGCTGCAGTTAGTTGTGTGTTTAGAGTCCATCTACGTCAATTATTTTATAAATATTTCGGAAATACTAATAAAACTTGTTAAGCTTTTGTGTGAATTGTCATGAGAAAATTAAATGTAGAAGAATTTTTTGTTACATATTGCACGCTTAGTATTAGAGTGACCTAACTCAAAATTTAAGTAAAATTAGATAAATGCACTGACATTACTATAATAACGCCATCATCATAGTTTTATACGATTTGGGAAAAAAGTGTTTTTTTCAAATTTGGTCACTGTAATACTAAGTATAAAGTACAAAGTAAAAAAAATATAAATAAATAGTACATTGAAACACATAACATAATATTCACTTGATGGCCTTATATAGGCGTAAGTAATATTAATCAAAGTAAGACAATGTGCCCATTAGATATATACTTACTTGGTTGCATTCTGAACTTCTTGTATAAAGGTCTCATTCCAAACAGGGTCAAATGTCTTTGGTTTCGTAGTGGAGCGGTCTAAATGGTGTTCGTCGGCGTCGATCGACACATACGGGTCTATAGGTTGATCGTCTGCAAAGATATCGCGTATTTACAAATAATACCAACACCCATCATAAACAATATTACACAACAGACTCGAGTATACAACTGGGGGGTCGCAAAATATCGATGATGATATGTCTAAACTATGTTTATAGTGCGTGGTGAACTCACCAGGCTTTCCGAAGGTCATGTTGTGCCTTTTCTGAAAATCCGTCGGTCTGAGGCCTGTAGCCTCGCACACCTTCACGCGCACCGTTCCGCTGAACATGGTGGCAGTGACCAACGAGCCCTATCACCGAGACCGCGCCGCCACACTTCACATCCACAATAAAAATCCAATACGAATCATTGAAGGTGCTTCATAATTTTAGCAGGAATAAAAACTTGACAGCAGTAGAATCCGCCATGGATGGTTAAGTTTACATTCTCTATGGTTTCAAAGGTAGATCTCAAAATTATAGACACTCCATTAAAATACAGAAAGTCCCTGTTTCTGGTTTCTGATTATCTGTACCTAACGTAACAATGAAAAATAACTAAATTTTAATTTTTCATATTCATTTCATTCAATAAATAACGAAACTTTAGTAGATATTACTATATATAGTTCTTTAACTTATAAAGGATTATCCATTAACACGATTCAACCACTTACTTTTCTAGTTTATTTGTATTTTACTGTCAGCGCAGACTGATAATTTAATGTAAGACAATTTACAATTACCGAATGACATTTTATAAAATAAATATTTACATCATTTCTCAAAGGCTGCATGTGAAAATATTACAGTAGTCATTGATGTTTTATGTATGTTATAAATAACTATAATTTAAATTTTTATAAAAGGTGGAAATTACATTAATAAAGATCATCAGATATGGGATTCTTAACAATCTTAAAAAAACTACGACAGAAAGAAAAAGAAATGAGAATTTTAATGTTGTATCCTTTTTATTGGAGAGAATGGTTTCTTTTTTTATAATTTACTCGAAATGTATCATATATATACTAGCCATATGAAGTGAATATAACTAGTAGTACTAAAAATAATGCCGCAAGTGAATAAATTTTCTATAAATATATCAGAGGTTTAGACAATGCTGGTAAAACTACTATACTAAAACGGTTTAATGGTGAACCAATAGACACTATTTCACCAACTTTAGGGTTTAATATAAAAACACTAGAGCACAAAGGATATAAGTTAAACATATGGGATGTTGGAGGACAAAAATCTTTAAGGTTAATATTTAAAGTTTTGATTGATTGTCGCTTAAAAGTTTATTTCTATTATCTTCTGTTATTTTTTGCCTAGGTCATACTGGAAGAATTACTTTGAAAGTACAGATGGTGTAGCTTGGGTTGTGGATAGTGCAGATCCTCGTAGACTAGCTGACTGTGCTAGGGAACTACATGCCTTGTTGAGAGAGGAGCGGTTGGCCGGGGCTACATTACTTGTGTTAGCTAACAAGGCTGATCTACCTGGAGCACTTACCTTACAGGAGATTAGAGAGGTAATACAATATTTGCACTATTAGCTGAAGTACATCAGATACTGCAAGGAATTATGTTGAAAGGAGTGTATGGGAGACTCCTTTCAACATAATTTATGACCTATAAATAGATTGGGTCAACATACAAACTATAGTTGTGCGTGGTATACAACTGAATAAATTGTTTAACTAATAGGCAACGGAATACTAATAACATTTGTAAATTCTAGGCCCTAGATCTGGATAGTATTAAGAGTCACCACTGGCGTATAGTCCGATGTTCAGCTGTCACTGGGGAAAATCTGCTTGAAGGCATGGACTGGATGCTTGATGATATTGCTTCTAGGATATTCACACTTGATTAACTTATTTATTATTTGTACTCAACTTTGTAACAGGCATTTGGATACAAGTCCATGAGTATTGTATTTAAATGAACAAAACAGTCTATCTATCTATCATAATCTATACTACTAGTGCTATAGGAAAGTTACAATGTGTAACTTTATGCACTTTTTTTATTAATTCTTCATCTGCTTATAACTACTTGGACTATAAAATAAATTAAACAAAGAATGTTTCTCTTTTATTGATCCAATGTCACTTAGTATGATAAAAATACCTTATAAAGTTAAACTAAATGTATATATTTATATTACAGTATGAAACACTAAATAAGGCCAAATGGTAGATCTTGTACTTGCTGTTCTCATAAGAACTATTACTACACTTGGGGAAAAAAATTGTAAAGTATTTATACCTGTATTATATCAACCACTAAGATTTGCAAGATAGTTATGTTATGCTTTACATTCTGACTGTGGTACTTAATCACTTGTTTTAGCAGAAATAATCAATTATCACATGCTAAGTTGCCTTACAATGTTGATCAGCCTTACAAATATTATAGTCAGAGGTAGAAAAGATCAACCATTCAGCAATTTAGCTAAATCTAGCAATGATCCAAATTAGTGTCATTGGATATATCATGATTATTAGAATCTATGTTATTTTCAATACTGTTATCTTGAACATTGCCTGTACTTTTGTCTTGTGATTCCTCTACTACTTCAGCAGGTTCAGCACTTGTATCTATTTTTTCTTCAGTTAGTTCTAAAAAAAAATTATATACATTATAATATATTGTATTGTAATATTTTTACAAACAAAACAGAGTCCCAGTTTTTCATAGATAGTTTAAAAAGATGATTTGCAGAATATTATTATAATATATTTTCGTAATTGAGCAATATAAAAAAAAATGTCTTAAAACACTTACTTACAACCTGAAATGAGACAATTTTTATGAAGGTAGTATGTCCGTTGATTATCTTAAGCATTAAAATTATCTCCTCTTGTTTACTCATACATCAAAAGGATATTAATTTCAGTTATAAATACACACCTTTCTCCAATTCCACTGGATGCTCTTCATGGTGATCATCTCCATCACTGTCTTCCTTTTCATCTGCATCCATAGCAAACTTGTCTCTTTTCTTATTGCCATTTTCAAACTGTAATGGGGACAGATATTTCATAAAATAGATACACAAATATGTAAAAACTAATAAAACCTTAAAAAACTGTGTAAGTTAGTACCTGTTCCGATTTAACATCCTCAAGGACATCATTTGAATCAGGATTATTTTCCTTTGCTCTTGGAGGTTTGTGACGAAGACATCTTTGTTCTATTCTTTGTAGCTCTTCGTCTAACTCTTCACGTTTTTTGGACATACATTCTGAAAAAGTCATTATACAAATTAGTTTATATTTCTGTGTATGTAAACTATTATTTCATAATTTTTTATATTAACAAGTTTAAAAAAAAAAATATCCTTATATGTTTATTATGTAAAAAGAAATCACAAATCTACACAAAATTTACTTACTGCGGTACATAGGACCATACTTGGCTGTAATACATAGTAACATATACAATACAATACAAATGGTGTGTACACACAAAAATAAATGAAAAATATAAAAATTTATGCCATGCAAAAACACACTTCACACAATAATATTATTTAATAATAATAATATAAAATACAATCTACTTACTTTCTTGGTAACGCCTACTGGAATTTAGTTTTTCTTGGGCCTTTTCAGACATTTTTTTGGGTAACCAATAGATATGAGGTTTAACTTTGGTAAGAATAAAATTGCCCAGATGCTTTTGAGACTGCTCCCACTTCTCAAATTCCTGAACACGTGCCATTTTTGCTTCTAACGCTTTTATAACTGCTTTCTTTTGTTCACGTTCAGCAAATAACACTTTCCGCTCTCTAATTTCTCTTTCCTTTTCTAACCGAGCCTGTTCCTCGATTTTTCTCTCTACCTGTGCTTTTTTCTCTTCCTAAAATAAAAAATATCAACACTTGAAATAATACTCCTAAACACAGCCCCTTATTTGAAATCCTAGGAAGACATTATTTCATGTAGAAGGTACAGGATTTTGAATTAGTTAAAATGGACATATATGGATAGATCTCCAGTACCCAGTAAAATGTAATACATTACAACTTAAACAATATTATTGTTATTATTTTCTATCGTGGACACCCTTGGCAGGATGGGTGATCAGTCCATGTTATCCGCTGACCATTTCACCCATTTCCTCATTTTCTCCAATATTACTACTTACCTTAGTCTGTAGTACAATCTCTTCTTGTTTGAACTTCTGTAATGTACCAAGGAGTGATCCAAATATCCTTCGGTTTCTTGTCCTAGCTTGTTCATCATCACCCTGCGCTCGCAACACTGCGGCTCTTGTTGGAAGCTCGCGACACACTGCTGATGAAACTCGGGAACGTTTTCGTCCAGGCACATCGTCTTCTCCATCACTATCATTGGTTTTTGCTGATATTCTAGAAGATATATTTTATGAAATAACTTATATTCAGATATACGTAGAGTATTAGAAATAATAAAGTTTCCCACCTGCTGAAAACAATTTTTGTTTCGTGTTTACGTTTGAAGAAGGAATCGTCATTCTTGATTGAATCTACATGAAAATTTCGACCTCCCTGCCTCGGACCTCCTCTAAAATAATCAGCACAAGGATTAAATCAGATGCAAGAAAATAATTACAACCAATACTAAAGCCAAAAGTTCTGTTAATTGGTAATAACTAACCTATCGTTAGAAAATCGGCCTGATGTTTGTACTATCTTCTTAATGTTTTCATCGATTTTGTACAAACTGCTTTTTTCATTCTCTAACTGTGTACGTAGAGTGCTAAACGATAACACCACTTCTGTTCCCATTTTAAAAAAAAAAACAACTTAACGTAGCATTCAATAATACTTATCAATAACGAGAAATTGAATTCATACAATCTATAATTCTATACCGAAATTATACAGTATAACATAGATTCTGTCATAGACAAACAGAGCTGTCAATCGCACAGATATTAATTTTTTACATCATATCGCATTTATGATGGGACAATGCAATTTTCGAAAGCATACCGCCCATACATTAGAATTAATTTAAATGTAGTAACATAAATTGTAATTATCATTATCAATCATTTTCAACGTAAAAATAAGAATATGTCAAAAAGTTTATGCATATTATTACTAGATGGCGTTAAGATTTTTTTCATTTAACACTATTCGCTATTATTATATCTACTTAAAACGAACATTTTCTGTTACAATTTAGAAATATACTTATTTATTTTATTTTCCATATTTAATTACTAGTTTAGTATGTATTATATGCCCTATATTTTTATATAAAATATTAATAATTATGAATAAGTAGGTTTTATTTAAAAAAAAATATTCTTATTTTCGTACGTTATTTTTCTATTGTACTGCTTCATGCATTATATAATGTTGTGATGGATGGTTAATTATTTAGGTAAGCTAACCAGTAGGTACGCTGCGTCGAAAAGCTCAATTCGTCGTTAGTGAGAGTGCACATACCTAATAAATTAATATATCTGTATTTCTATCAGTGGTGCGTGCGGGTGTCTTGTACAGACAATATTTAACTTAGTATAGTCTACCACTCCACTCCTACCTGCATGCGACACGATAGGATTTGTTAAGATTAACGCAAACTAAATATCATTTATGTAAATATGTATTTATACTAAGTTAAATTTAATTAATTAATTTAGTGTTTTTTTATCCCATCGCACTCAGCTACTAAAAATTCAAATTTTATAAAAAAAAAAATGATCTGTAACTTAAAAATACTCATATGCATGTATCTACCCAATGAGAAGATAAGATGATATTTAAAAGGAAGGATGTAAAAACAAAGAAATTGTTTGTATACCCATTTGTATTCCTCATATAAGTAATTAGATTACCTAATAATAAGTAAAGTGTAAAAAAAAAACATTAGCGAAGTTTCAGTAGCATTAAGAAAACTCAAATACAACAATGAAAACGCGAAATGAACTATTATACTTAATTAAAATATATTTTAACTAAGTATAGTCCGAAGTTTCGCATACTTTGCAGCAACCATAAAACTTAACTTTTTAAATATATACTTCGCATTTAAAACCGTTTAAATTGTTTTATATAATTGTGTACTAGATATTCGCGTAAACTATTTAAAATAAACGTCAAGTATAATTAAATGAATAGTGCCCGGCCAATCAAGCGAACATCCTTATTTTGGTGAGAGGTAAAAAAGCAATTAGCTGAAATGTCCCCGCAGCTAAATCCGTTCGCCGGCGGCGCTGGCGGCCGAGCATTCAGCCGTGCTATGAAAAATGGCTGACGCGTACGGTGTAAAGCAAGGCATAAATAAGTAACATCAAATTCAAAACGACTTGTCTCTAATTTAATACTGAAATTATCTAAAATTTTCAGGTAATTACTGCGGTTCGTAAATAACATAAAATAATCGATGTCGATTCGATAATAGACAAGAAGTTATGGTATCTGAAATCTAAATGTTAACTCAAAATGTATTTAAATAAAACACTTTAGCGGTTTAACGTGAAATATATTAGTTAAACTTATTTCAAAATTATTTTAACAACGGCCTGAGGTTTGTTTTAACCCTTGTACTTATCGCGTAAACTTCAGACTTAGGACTTAGGGTAGATTGTCTAATTTCATAAAAAAGTTAATATTTTCTACTTATCTATCAATAAAGATACTTTCCTTAACCTTTCGTTATATTATTTCTTTACAAATTAAATTTATAAAAGGTACAAATAATATATAATAAATAAATGAATGTGCTTGTTTGCGCGAATATACACAAGACGGTGTTGTTTGTAATAACTCCTGTAGAGCATTTTTGTCGTTCCTCCTCTCACATCTCGTCTCCCTTCGTCACGGTCCTTGTATTATTGATGTCCTGCCTCCGGATGGATAGATGGCTTCTGACGTAAGCGTATCACATAACAAAAATTACATTTAAGTTTATTGTAGGTATAAGCAATATAAATAGGTTTTAGAGGCAGATTGGGAATTACATATTTTCATTTGTACTTAATCCTTAAAGAGTCATTATTTTGATAGGTAGATAAAAAATATGGAGGCAGCCAGATGAATTATGACCTGCCAACAAACAACATCAAGGTACGTCAATGCTAGCATTTCAATTAATTTTAACTAATGCAAACTCGTGAGTTATGACAACAATAAACCTGATGCGCCCATCTCCCATTAAAGCCAAGCTATTTATCAAGCATTCGTGTAGCTATCAAAGCTGCCACTCCGTCGCCATTTCAAATCGTTTGCCGCCAAAAACAACCGCCATTTTGTTTGTCTGTTTGCTCAGCTGTCAGATTGAGAAGTACGTGGCGGAACAACTTGGGATTCACAAATAAAACGCTGAATTATCGACCGCCTCATTAATTATAGCTCTGCCGCGGTTTAGCTCTTAATTTCTTTATAGAAACCATTTAATGGAGCTCGAAAATGAGCAGAACGAAGTGTTTAAATAATATATCGATGTGGAAGAACAACTAAATTAAAAATTCTCACAATCTTCCCTGGTAACACAAATAGATACCTACTACTTACTACTATTTACTTTATTGTATGTATCACATCTGTTTCTAAAATAAGTAAACATTTTTTTATATATCTCACTTCACTCGATGTAATAGCCTACCCACTAGACGAAAATTGTAATTTTAAGTTTTCATTTACAATAGTGTTAGTATTGTCTGAGTCCAGGTTGGAGACAATAAATAATCGATAGCTAGACTTATGTCCGAAGACATAAATCCTACTTAGTAATTCTATCTTATTTAAAAAAAAATCTATTAGTATATATTTCTTCTTTAAACCTCATAATAGAATATGTGGGTAAGTATACAATAGTCGTAGGCCTGCTACGACCAAAGGCGTAATGTAGGTTTCCTCGTAGCAGTAAATATGTTATAGGAATTATTGTTTTATAAAACTATTAAATATGTCATATATAACATAGTGCATTCGTAATTAGTTTTTATAAATCATACTTGGTTGATAGTTTATATAATTAAAGTAGATATAACCTACCTTACCTATATAAAACTATACTCAAATATTAATGAAATATGAACGAGCCCATAAACATAAATTGCATTACTTGCTAATTCTTTACTTGTAAGCCGAAAAAGAAAAGTTCCAATCTTTTAGAGATATACCTTCATCCTTACAGGGCCATAAGATGGCTGAGACTAAATACCTATGCGAATACAATACAATATTACAGCTATTCTGGGTGTAAAGTAAGAGAATATCACGAGAAAAGCATAGCAGGGTGTAGATTTCCTTTGAAAATCATACGTTTTATATTGACATTTATCTATACTAACACATAAAGCTGAGGAGTTTGTTTGAACGCGCTAATCTCAGGAACTACGGGTTCGAATTGAAAATTTATTTTTGTGTTGGTTAGAGCCTTTATCGTGGAAGGCTAAAACGCTATGACTAATAGAAGCGAAGATACAGAGGGAAATGTGAACAAAACAAAGGAAATTTTTCATCTCTGTAGGCGTCAGATGCGTACGCTGCGAAAACGGTTCAAGATACCTAAACATGTATATGAAAGAATGATTCCTCTTTAAATGATGTAAAAGTCCGCGACTTTTAAGAATAACTTGCAAGAATGACGGGAAGGGATGCCATCGACGCCATGGCTAACAGCTTAAGTTTATAGAGATGACGGGGTTTGCAAAAACTAATTTCGATGCCCAAAATAACGATTCTCGCGGACGAAGTCGCTGGCACAGCTTGTTAAAAAATACATCGATTCATTAGTAATTGAATATAAGGATTTTAGAAGTTGTTCTGACAGGCCTCATCAAGTAAGGGATTAAACAAGCAGTTTGCGAAAGCAGCAGTCCGTCCAGGTACGCAACATGTAGCGCAACAAGGTGTGTCGACACTAGCGACGCGCTCCACTCGCCCGCGGCGAGACGCATCCAGTCGCGCGACTTTACGTTCACTGCACCTCGTTGGAGATTTAATGGCCGCTTTAATTGATATGATTTGTAAATGAAGAGTTTACAATTACGTTGTAATTAATTGTTTAATGATTGATTAATATGATTAGAATCACGACATCTGTAACTAACAGGAAGAAAACTTCTCGAACATTACATATAAGTAGGTAGATAATATAATATATGACAGGTTTCTCCATGTAGAACTTTAAAACGTAAATTTTACTGCAAATATGTGATATTCTTAAACAGTTCATTTAAGTTTAATTTTCCATGTATAGATCAGTTTAAAGTGTTTTTAAAAATAATCATACAGGCGATATACTAGTTTCGCTTAAGAAATTAATATGCACAAGAACATTTTAGATCAATACGACTGATACACAATATTCCACAGACTAGGATTAATTTAGACTCGCAGTTTTTGTGCTAAAATTTAGATTTTTCTTAACTAGATTTTCACCTTCTTTATTACAACTGGCAAGCATAATCAATGAATGGGAGATTTAATAGTCAAAGTCACGACCATACAACATCTAATAAAACTGGGACAATTGTTCGAACCCGGACAATATTTCGATATTTCTAAAAAATAAAAATAGTCTACAAGGTGGACCCGTTGACTATTAACGAAAACATAACCTAAGCCCAAGTCGAGTCTATACGCTAAATCTTGTTTTAATTAAATAATTCTAGTTAAATGTAAACGTTAATTAGGTAATGGACAGCTGAGGGTCTATTTCTGTGTGAGTGGCAGTTGGAGAGAGATGAAAGCGCGGTTCCCTGAAGCGACGCGCGAGCTGCGTCCGCCGCGCGTGGTCGCGCCACGATGCGCTCCGGTGGCGCGCG